CCCTGTTCCAGGGGCCTTGTTCTGGAATTCTTGTTCCAGATGCCCTGTTCCAGATGTTTGGTTAGTTGGGAAGCAGTGCAAAAAATGATGAAAGATAACATAATAGAGGAGTTCTCTCCCACTCTTTTTTGCACTGCACCCAAAGCACCTGAATGCCTGGAACAGGCTACACTGGGTGCTGCCAAATATATACCCAAGACTTTGATAGCTTTACTGACTTGTGATTGGGTGTATCCTTCATGGGAATGGACAGCAGCTTTATAAAGTGAGGAAAAAAAAACATAAAATAAGGTTGACTTATAGTTTTCCTGGTATATTTTCTTTTATATTTTGGTTTAATATTCATTTTGTACGTATATTGCAATGTAATGTAATTCAGTTTTTTCAATTTATGTGTTGAAAAGGTGACTTCCGGGCTTCAACTGCAATGGAACAATACCCTGAGTTATTACATTGTAAGATTGATGTCCTGTATCTTGACACCACGTAAGTTGAAACACAAATTTGACTTAACCTTACCTTCTTTACTTTAAATCCTTCTTCCTCTAGTCACTTGATAAGGCTCTGCCATTTCTTAATGACTGTTACAACAAGCATTTATTGTTATCATGACCCTACCATGTTAAATCATGATAGCTGGAAAGCTACAGTGTATGTGTGGAAAGCTATTTTTATTCTTCCATGTTATGCAGTACAGTATGTTTCTTGTTATAACACAATTATTCAACTAGATGTTATGTTTTGTAATTTGTTTTAGATATTGTGATCCGGAATATTCATTCCCACCTCAGGAGGAAACCATCAACTTCACAGTATCCAAAGCTGTTCAAGCTTGTAAACAAAACCCGAAGACCCTGATTGTCTGTGGCTCATACACAATTGGAAAAGAACGTGTCTTCCTTTGTAAGCAAGCAAATTTCTTTAGAATTACTGACAAAATAAATCATTGAGGGGTATTTTGTAAAATTTGAGATATGTTAAAGCTGGTATTTGAGTGTATGTAGTTACTAGCATTCTCACAGGTGTCTGTAAAGAAGCACACAACTGCATCAGAATACAATTAACAGGCATGGAGGGTCACTGTTCGGCCATTTTGTTACTTTCAAGTAATAAAATTCGTACATTTATCCATTCTGCAGGCTCGATTTCTGCTGCTCTCTTGTATCCGGTCTTTGTTCCTCCCCGAGTTAGGTTAGAGGAGTGGGGGTTTGTTTTCTGAACAGCGGCTAGAAATCATGCATATGTCAAGAGCCCTAAACAAAATCAACCCAAGCAAAAAAAGGTGGGGAAATAGCCCCACCAGCAATTCCCCCTCTGTGGTCCTTACTATTGATTAGTAGTAATTGATTGCATTCATCTGCTTCTTTTGTTTACAAGCTGTTGCAGAAGCACTCGGTTGTAAAGTTAGTGTAGAAAGGCAGAAGAAGAAAGTGCTAGATTGTCTTGAATCTGATCATATCAAGTCCTTGATCACAACAGACTGGAAAATAGGAAAGGTCCATGTGTTACCAATGGCAAAGCTGACATTGCAGGTGAAGTATTATTTTACTTTTTATGTCCACATAAAAAGTGAAATACAGTAATTTTGTTATAATAGGTTTTATTATTTTTTGTTATCTTTTATTAGAGTCTGACAGCTTATTTGGAATCTCGCAAGTCCCAGTTCACTGAGCTACTGGCCTTTAAGCCTACTGGATGGGAACATAGTGCAAAAAGAGAAAATCTGTCCATGATCAAACCTTCCAAGAGGGGAGATGTTACAATCTATGGTATGTACACCCATGCAAGTATAAAATGCTCATGCAAAATCTAGCCTCAGTAGAACACACCTTCTCAAACTCATTAATAATTCATCAAGTTTAGAGAAAGGAAATCATGACCATGACAGTGTTTGGATATCTCATCTTAATTGGCGTAGATTTTTATGATTTTTTTTACGGTTTTCCCCTTAGTTTTAGTTTCGATTGAGAAGATACATCAAACACTCAAGACAGTGTTTAACCACATTTCCAAACACCTAGAAGGTCATCAAAAATACTCAGCTGTGCCTTGCATTTTCAACGCTCTTCTTGGTGCTTGGAAATGTGGTCAAACATGGTCTTGAGTGTTTGATATGTTACAATAAATCTCACTTCTCAGGAGAGTTATCTGAACAGTTTAGTATGGTGGCCCGCAAGGGCCACCGTACATACAAACTTCATATTCCTCATACAAACTTTATATTCCACATACAAACTTTATATTCCTCATACAAAAAATATATTCCTCATACAAACTTTGTATTGAGAGGCAATTTTTGTATTCCTCATGCAAATTTTATATTCCTATACAAACTTTGTATTTCTCAATACAAACTTTGCATCAAAATGCAAACTTCTTATATTGACGCGCAAACTTTATACAAAGCACTGATCTGGAAGAAATCTGGGAACAAGTTTAGGTATTTCAAGATGGCGGATGTTGAAGGTGACCAGTGAGATAGGATCGAGTACTATTTTCCGGGCCTTGGATATACAAATGAAATTACTTTGGAGTTTCTCGAGTGCTTCTATGATATTAAAATAAGTTTGAGAACACTCAAAAGGAGACTTCGTAGCTTTGAGGAAAGGTAATATTATTGATGAAGCCAGGATACAAGCCGTAATTAGGAGAGAGATATCTGGTTCAAGACGTTTGCAAGGGTATCGCTCAATGTGGCATACTTAACTTATGAAATACCGTCTTCACGTGCCGAGTTATAGTTGCACGGCTTCTTCGTGAGATAGATCCTTTTGCCTCTATGCAAAGAGGACAATGAGTTTAGGTATTTCAAGATAGTACTCGCTCATATCTCGCTGGTCACCTTCACCGTCCGCCATCTTGAAATACCTAAACTCGTTCCCAGATTCCTTCCGGATCAGTGCTTTGTATAAAGTTTGCACTTCGATATAAAAAGTTTGCATCTGGATGCAAAGTTTGTATGAGAAATACAAAGTTTGTATAGGAATTTAAAATTTGCACGAGGAATACAAAAATTGCCTTTCGATACAAAGTTTGTATGAGGAATTTATCATATAGCCGTGTCTCACAAGGACTGGGAACTACCGAATTCTCGAATTTGATTGGTTTAAATCGGTATTGACCGCGGTGTAGATTTTCCCATCTAGACCGGTTACATTTTGGGTGAAAAAGTGTCAACCTAAAATACAAAACTATTGACTATTTTCTTCTACAAATATTAGTGGAAATGACACAAAGCCTTGATGTGAAGGACATTTTATTATAGCGTATTTGAATTGCAAATGCTTGGGTAATGTGACTACGTTTAGTGGATGTTTTTCTTGTGCGACCACGAGGAGATGTTTCACTAGTTTAGGATCGCAAATTCGTCATAGAAATTGATGTTCAGTTAAAATTCGAATAAATGGTTTAACTCGGAACCATATTGGTAGCAGAGCGAGGTTTACGTCGGGGAAATTCGCTGAATTCAAGAAAATG